ATCTGTGGAGGAGCCCCAGGTAGGGAAGCCCCTTGTTCCACACCCCCACCCCACTTAGGTCCTGGGCCCCCACTGCCAGGCTGGGCCCAGCTTGCTCGGCCAAGGGGCTGCCCAGGCCCCCAGAAAACACTTGGAGCCATCGGGCAGCGAAGGTCTGTGCCGTGGGGAGCACCCCCATTGGTGTGGCCAAGCTGCCCCCATTCTTATCCAACCCTCTCCCCACCCTGTCCTGTCCATGCGCTTCCAGGGCCCTGTGGTCCTCAGGAGGACCCTTCCTGGCCAAAGCCCCAAGCCTTTGGTGAGAAGCCAATTCCCGCTTTACAGAAGGCACCACCCATTCATCTCACTGGCCAAGGACAAACTCTCCTCTGGGATGTCTGGGACTGGCATTTGTCCCCTACTCAAATTATCACAGCTTTCTGCTCAGTCAGTTGTGTGGGGATGGTGAGGGAAGAGGGGTCAAATGAGGGAGGAAACTGTATCCATGCATGCATGATAGTGTGTGGCAGAGACTGCATCAGGGATTGCGTGTTCAGAGACCACATGCATATGTGTAGGGCTAGAGCGTGTGTGTGTCTTGAGATTGTGTGTGTTGTAGTTGTTATATCTATGTGTTACAGATTGTGTGTTAGCCTTGTGTATGTGTGCTTGGTTGAGGTGGTGTATTTGGGTTGAAATTGTGTCATGTGTCTGTGCTATCCATCTCGTGTTTAGAGGCTGTATATGTTAGCTTGTGTAAGAATGTGTTTTCAAAATAGTGTGTGTATTGGGAGTGATGGGTTTGTGTTAGGTGTTGTAGAAGTGTGTGTTTGAGAGAATTGGGAGATATTTGAAGGCTTGTGCGTGCATGTTTGGGGGTCTGAAAAGATAGTTACATGCATGGATGCGAGCTTGAGGAGAAAGAACGTGGGTAAGATGTCCCCTCCCAGCCCTGAGATCATTGGTCACAGTTGGCCACTTCCAATAGGAGACCTTGTCCTTGGCCTAGAGTGCTCCCACCCTTGGGGGGTTCCTGCCTGAGGTCCTCAGAATCCCACTGCAACAGACCCAGGCAGTGCCCCAGGAAGCCATGCTGGGCCCCGCCAGGGCCTATCCCAAAAGCAGGGCCAGGGAGGGGCGACTTGCCTGCCCCTGAAGCCCTGTTCCCATTGGCCCCAGTTTGCATTCTGCAGGTTTTCCATTTTAGTGGATTCTGCTTTTATTTCAGAGACAGACATGTGTCTTCTCTGTCCGTTTCCAATAGGTAAAGCCATATCAGTTAGACTGCAATACTTTAAACACGAGACAAAACAATCCATATGTTTAGGGAACCAGATAAGTCCCCTGGTCTGTCCCTTCCTTGGGGAGCAGGGTCTCGGCAGCTCCAGCTCCCTGGACCTACCTTCCTCCCTGCACCCCCACCCCCTCCTTGTGCCCCTGTGTCCAGCCCCCCGGGGGCCTGTGTCTGTGTCTGTGCCTGTGTCTGTGATGGGGAGCCACCTCGCACCCCTGTTGTCTGCTTGTCTCTTTGTGTCTGTTATCCTGGGCAGGATGGTCATTCTCAAGAACCCTGGGGTCCTGGGCCAGAGACAAGCAGGGACCAGTCCAGGGGCCCCAGGCCTCCCCAGCCCTTGTGTGTGAGCCCAGCTTGGACACAAGTGTTCAGAGGTGCCCCTCCGCCAGTTGACAGGGACCTTCAAGCCTCGATGGTGACGCCAGGACACAGAGAGGACCAGATAGGTAGCAGAGGCCAAGGCGCAGGGCGCTTCAGATGAGCAAGAGAACCCAGTCAAACCAGATATTCCAGGTGGGCTGGAGGGACCCCAGACCCTCAGAGGGCTGCCCTGGTGGTCTCCACAGTGCAGTCCCTCTGTATTCCCAGAGTGGGACCGGGGCTTTCAACCCCACCCTGATGCCTGCCCTCCAGGATGGCTGGTTTAGTCTGGGTCCATGTCCCAGACCCCTCTATTCTGCTCTGGGACAGCAGGACTTGAGGTCTTCCTGGGGGTGGGTATGGGGGAAAATTTCTGCCTGGCACACACCTGGCTCCAACCACTGCCAAGTGATCACTCTTAGGCCCAGGGGAACACAATGACTGTCATTACTGACGCAGACCTGGCTGTGGAGAGCAGCTAATGTGTGGCCCAGAGAGCATGTCTGTGTGGCACACGTAGTGCATAGAATACGTGAGAGTTGCTCTAGCGGGGGGGGGGGGATCCTCACAGGATCGCCTGGGAGGTGAGGTGTGCGTGACCCACTGGGTAGGAGAGGAATGAGTGTGCACACATAAATGGGGCAGTGTGCATGCAACACACTTAGGGGAAGAGTGGCCCCAGAATTCAGCACACACACAAGGGAGAGGATCCCCAGATAGGAAAATAGGAAGGAGCAATCATTTGCAGATGGGTGAAAAGAATGAGGTGCAAAGGAGCGTGCACCAGGTGAGGTGAGCGTGTGTGCTCTTGGGGAAGGGCCGGCTCCCGTGCCTGGGAGGCGCTGCCAGAGAGAAGGAAAAAGGCAGCTGCAGATCGCCCTGGGCTGGGCACCGGCAACGGGTCAGGGCGGGTCAGGATCTCCAAACGTGGACGTCCTCCCCTCCAAATCCAGAAGCTCCCAAAAGGTGTCCTTAACAGCAAGGCTGTGCGGGGTACTCCTCCAGATGGAATCAGGAAGTGGAGACGCCATCCCAGGTGTGTGTGAGAGAGAGAGAGAACGAAAAGGAGACAGCAGTATTGCAGCCCAGAGCCCCTGTCAGGGGACAGCCGGTGGGCAAAGCAGCCAGCCCACAGCCTTGTGGCTAGAGTGCAGTGCGGTGGGCCCCTAGCTCCAAGAGCCCGGCACCCAGCTGGCAGGGTTGCCCATCCCCGCTGGCCACCTGCTCCATCCTTTAGGGTTCTACAGGCCCCTGACTGCACAGGGAGGCTGGGGTCAGCCTGGGCTCCCAGGCCTGAGGACATGCCTCCCACCAAATGTCCCCTGCTCCAGTCCCACTCCTGTCACCCCACGCTCTTCACTGGGGAGAGAATGGGAGGTGCTCGTGCTGGCCCTGGGTGGGAGCGGGGAGTCCTGGTGAGACCCAGGTGAGATCGACCATCCTGCCCGTGCAGGGGAACCCCTTTCCCACATTTGTGCTGTGTCATTGTTGCTCTGCTTCCTTTCAATGTGTCAGTGCCTGGGGGGAGGGGAGGAGCACCCCCTCAGCCCCCCTGAACCTGACCAAAAGCCATGGCTGTTGCTCCCCCCTTTGTATGATGCAAATGCTGAGATGTACAAAATCAACCATGACAACAAAGAAAAAGACCTTGTACAGCAGCTCTCTGTCTCTCTGTCCTCTTCTGTCCATCGGCACCACCAGGAACAAACAGGGGCACCGACTCACCAGGGAGGAGGCAACCCACAAAGCTCAAGAGACTCCAGAAAATCTTCAGTTTTACCCTGACTTCTGGCCAGGACCCCATGGAAATGACTCCAGAAATCAACCGCGGCCAGAGTTGGGACTGGGCTCAGGGTTCCAGGATCACTCTGCCTCCCTGCCTTCCAGAATCAATTCTTCAGCCCCAGGGACTGAGTGGTCCCTGTGTACCCCCTACGCACAACATCCCTGACCACCCTTTCCCCCAAGCCCCTCAGGGTGCTGCTTCCTGAGAACGCTGCCAAGTCACACAGTGGGCAGCGGCCTGTCCTCATTCATTTCCCAAACACTGAGAGAGACCTGCTCCCCGCAGGCCACGTGCAGGAGGCTAGGCTCCCAAAGAAAAGACACCACTCAGCATTCCTCCCAGACACAGCCACTTCCCAGGCCTTGGTGAGGAGTCAGGACCATTCCGGAACCCCCTCCGCCCTTACCCTCACCCTAATACTCTGCCTTAAGTTAGGTCCCACTCCTCTCTGCTTGGCTGGGCCCTTCCCATGGCCACACAATGGTCTCCCAGCCCCTACCCCTCTACTTCCATGCACCCTCTCCTGCCACCCTGCCCCTGCCTGCAAGGCGCATCCAAAATGCAGACTTCACTATGTCACTCCCTGCCCAGAGCCCTCCAAAGGCCAATAGGAAGGCATCTGCCTATAGGATAACATCCAAATTGTCCAAATGGCCCTGTGTGATGTGGCCTCAACCTGCTGATCAGAACCCACACCCACCTCTGTGCTCCAAGTGCCCCAGTCCCCTATCCATACATCTTCTTGGCGTCTGCATATTCTGCCCCCAGGGCCTGAGATGAGTGGTGCCCTTACCCTCCTTGGTGCTCCCGGGAGCTTGGAGCTCCCTCAAGCTCCAACTCAAACATCACTTCCTCTCTAAAGCCCACCCTGACCCAGTCCGTCCCCCTGACCAGAGCAGAGGCTCTCATTGCACTCGCAGCCACAGAGCATCATGTCTGAGTGTTCAGACAGCGCTGGATGTGTTTACGGCTCTGTCACCCAGCAGAGTGATCTTGAACAAGCCACTTAACCCCTCTGAGTGTTTGCTTATAAGTGAAATGGGATGATAAGCATTGCTCCAATCTCCACACTTGTTGTGAAGAGTAAATGGGGTCGTGCACATGCTATGAGCACCACATGGCAAGCATTCAGTGAATGGAGCTTTGCAAATTCTGTTGAAAGAGATGTCGCTGCACCTGTCTCCCTCACTAACTTGGGAGCTTTATAGCTGGCCTGTGCTCTGATCCCTCCCCAGCACCCAGCATAGGGTCTGGCCCACAGTGTGTTGCCAGGGACCCCAGTGCTGATTCAGGGCCCAAGATATCGATCTCTGCACCTTCTACATGATAGCCACAGTCACTCTTCTTTTGGCCTTTGTACTTAGTAGGCAATGTGGGGAGGGGTGCAGACCCTGATTCCCCACCTTCTATGTCCTGACATCACCCTCCTGCCTGTTCTCCCAGATCTGCCCATACCCCTGGCTTAGTGCACTGTGGGTAGCAGGGTCCCTGGACTCTCTGAGTCAGAGGGAGCTCAGTGTGCAATGGGAGGCTGTGCTAGTGATGGATGGCTACATAACAAATTATTACAAACTTAGAAGCTTAAAACAACACATGTGTATTTTCTCCATTTCTGTGGGTCAGGAGTCCCGGCACAGCTTACCAGGGTCCTCTGCTTCAGGACCTCTCACAGGGCTGCAGTCAAGGTGCAGGCCAGGGCTGGGGTCTCATCAGAAGGCTCAGATGGTCACAACTCACTTCCAAGCTCACGTTTTTATTGGCAGGCTTCAGTTCCTGTTGGATTGGGGGCTTCAGTTCTTGGCTGACTGTTGGCTGGAGGCCATCCCCTGGCCCTTGCCACATGGGCCTCTGCACTGGGGCTGCTAACAGGGCAGCTTGCTTCACCAAAGTGTGCAAGCCACAAAGGCAACAGAGAGAGTCTGCTAGCAAGATGTAAGCCATGTTGTTATATAAGCTAACCATGGAGGTGACCCCCCTGTCACCCTTACCATCTTCTATTGACTAGAGATAAGTCACAGGACTCACCCACACTCACGGGCACGGGACCTCACAGGGTGTGAATACCAGGACAGGGGATTACTGGGGGCATCTTAGAGGCTGCCCACCATAGAGACTGAGGCAAACTTCCCCTTTCCTACAAAGCACTAGAGTAGAGCAGGGCCTTGGAGGAGCCAGAGCTCCAAACCTCTTCAGCCACAGTGTCCCAGGTAGCAGAGGAAATGTCTCAGAGCTGGAGCAGCGGCCAATGGCAGACTCTCCTGGAGCCTCTGCAAGACTAAGGTCATTCCCAGAGCTCCCAGGCTGGGCTCTGAGGGCCTTCCAAGGGTGGAGACTGGAGAGAAAGAGAACAAAAGGGCTTGTGGCTTCCCTGGGAGTCTATCTGTGTGCTCTGCCCAGCACCCCAGGCACTGTCCTCCTAAGACCCAGGGCCCACCTCCAGAAACAACCCAGCCTGGGACACTTGGATACTTACCCTCGGCTTCCCTCTCCTCTCTGCTCAGTGGATCATAAGGTCAGTAAATGCCAGCATCCTCTCATTTTCAGTCCTGAATGTCTTCTCCTAAGAGTTTTAATCCTCTCCTGTAAAATGAGTATTCACTGGGCTTCTACCATGTGCTAGACACCAAGAATACCAACCACACAGCCCTCCCTCCAGGAACCCACGTGCTGAAGGAGGAGATAATGGAGAAACAGAACAGCTGCCCACCACAGCATGAGCAGTGCCACCGGTGAACCTGGGATCAGGGTGCAGGCTCCCTGGAGGGGTTTACATCTGAGATGAGTCTTCAATGAGGAAGAGTCAGCCTGGTGGAGAAGGAGGGCACATCCAGGAGAGGGACTGGCATGAACAAAGGCATGGAGCAGACAAAAGTAGTTTAACCTGAGCAGTGGGAGTGGGGGAGGGAGAAACAGAGGGTATCTGTGTGAATTCATTGAGGTCTCTGTGAAAGGCTGAGAGGACAGGGACTTCAACTCGAGTGCCAGGAGGTGGAGTTTGGACTCTACCTGCAGGCAATGGGAAGTCACTGAAGGGTACAGAGCAGAGGTATGATATGATCAGATGTGCAAATTGAGGAAGATCAGCTGGGGCTGTGAGGAAGGTGAACCCCAAAATGTAGCCATGTCTTGACTATTGACTTCACTACAGGATCAAAGCATAGGAAATCAAGAAACCTGGGATGAGAAGGGGAGTTAAAGTCAAATCCATCCTCCCATGCAATTCAGGAAAACCTCCTGTGCCGTCTTAGGTAGAGGGCACACTCTTGCTTACATTCCCCACAGTGTTGGGAAGCTCATTCTAGGCAGACAGCTCCCCTCTTTCTCCTAAACCAAAAGCTGCCAGGAAGCAGGGGGTTAATGAAGCCTCCTCCAGCATCTCTTTAATTGACTGCAAAATCCTGCTTCCAGACCACTCACTTAGCACTTGTAATTAATTGGGGCTTCTTGCCTGATCTGAGAGATGATGCGATACCCCCTGAGGACAATGTTTTCTCAGCTGGGATTCTTCAGCTGGAGACGACACTACACACCCAGCCTCTCCACAGGCACTGGCCTGGGTATGAATGCAGGCTCCAGCCCTTCCCCTCTGGGTGAGCTCAGGCAGGGCACTTCCCCATGGGAGCACAGAGCCAGCACATTGCACAGACTCAGTGGGTGGGTCAGAGCTGGTGTCACTGTCTCTGTGGGCTCCAGACCCAGGGCATCCAGTCTATCCTGGGGCAGGACCAGGGGTCTTCAGCTCTTGGCCACATCAACTCCAGGCTGCTCTCATTGTGAGAGGCACTTGGCATGGCCCTGTCTGCATGAGGGTCAAGACAGCCCATGTCAAAGTACGTAAGACGGGGGAGAAAAAGGGAGGGCAAGGGAGCCCTTACTTACCAACCATCTGCTGTATGCCACACACGGGGGCTGATTGCTTTAAAGCCTCCTGCTCTCCTCATCCCGACAGGAATCTGTGAAGTCAGTATTCTCCCCACTTTACATATGAGAAAGCTGAGGCTCATAGGTAAAAGCATGAAATGAGAATGGGCACAGGCTTTGGACTTAGACAAACCTGGCTTTCAATCCTGATTCCTTCCATCTGACCCTGGGCAAGTGCCTCAATAGCCCTGAACCTGGGTTTTATCTATTTTTAAAAAATTATTATGTATTATAATACATACATAAAAATACATAATAAAAATTACTATATATACTAATGCCCACCATGACCACTAGGGTCATTGAGGGAATTAAATAATGCCCACAGATCCCCTAGCACAGTGCCAGGCACATAGCAGGTACCTAAAAAATGACAGTGACTGGGCGTGGTGGCTCACACCTGTAATCTTAGCACTTTGGGAGGCTGAGGCAGGTGGATCACCTGAGGTCAGGAGTTCGAGACCAGCCTGCACAACATGGCGAAACCCTGTCTCTACTAAAAGTACAAAATTATCCGGGTGTGGTGGCACATGCCTGTAATCCCAGCTACTTGGGAGGCTGAGGCAGGAGAATCTCTTGAACCCAGAAGGTGAAGGATGCAGTGAGCTGAGATCACACCACTGCACTCCAGGCTGGGCAACAAGAGTAAAACTCCATCTCAAAAACAAAACAAAACAAAACAAAACAAAAAGACAGCCATTGCTACTAAATGCTACTATTACTATAGCAAGACTGATGAAGAAAAGTAACTAGAGGAGGAAAGGAAAGGAGGGAGAATAAATGAAAATGATAAGGAGAATAATTTGTTAAAAATCCTCCAGTCATCCAAATAGTAAACTGGGTAGCCTGATTTAAAAAACAAATCTGTCTTTTGTCTTTTCATGTAACACAAGACAGGTGAGAGGCAAGGGCTAAAGTGAGTTAGGGGACAGAGGGAAGAACTGACTCCTTCAGGAAGCACTCTTGAATTTTCAGCTTGAAAGAAACTTAGCAATGTGCAGTAGTTACCTGTTACTGCATAATAAATTACCCCAAAATATTAGTTGAGTGTGGTGGTGCACACCTGCAGTCCTAGTTACTCAGGAGGCTGAGGTGGGAACATTGCTTCAGAAGGCTGAGCTGCAGTGAGCTATGATCATGCCACTGCACTCCAACCTGGGCAACAGAGTGAGACCATATTTCTAGAAAAATAAATAAATAAATAAATAAATAAATAAATAAATAAATCACCCTAAAACTTAGTGGCTTCAAGCAATAAACATTTATTTTCTGTCCATTTCTGTGGGTCAGGAATTCTGGAGTGGCCTAAGTAGTTCTAGATTGGGGTCTGTCATGAAGCTGCAATCAAGATGTCAGCCAGTGCTGCAGTCTCATCTGAAGGCTTGACTGGGCTGGAGGATCCACCTTCAAGGTGGCTCTGTCACAGGACTGGCAGCTGGTGCTGGCTACTGGCAGGAGGCCTCTTTTCCAGAGCTTCTTTAAAGAGGAACTTCTTTAGCATCCTCACAATATGGCAGCTAGCCTCCCCCAGAGTGAGTAATCCAAGAGAGCAAGGTGGAAGCTGCAATGTCTTTCATGACCTAGCCTCAGACACATACCAAGCCTTCTGTAGTATTCTATTAGCCACACCAACCAGCTGTGATTCAACGTGAGAGGATGCTACACAGGGCACGAATACTGGTGGGGAAGCTCCCCGGGGAGTGCCCCCGCCTGCCCCCCGCCTTGCAGGTTGTCTACCTCACAATGCAGACCTCGGCACACCTGCAGCTCTTTCTTCAGCCCCTAGTTAACAAACACTCCTTCATTCATCCATCCATTGAGAAAACATCTCCTCATTCCTTTCTGCCATCAGCAAGTACCTTCCTCCTGAGGGCCTCCTCATGGCCAAACCCAGGCTAAGTACTGCCTTTCAGACCCAAATCTGACATGGTCACCAGAGCCTATAGTCCAGACATGCAAACCAACACACAGCAAGCAGCCTATCATGAGCAAACACTTGGAACGTGGTTCCAAGCCAGGCTTCATTTGACCTTGATCACATTATCTCACCTCTCAGGGCCTCCGTAAAAAGAGATACGACTTGCACTGCCCAGTCATGGCAAAAATGTGTTAAAGTACCCAGCACAAGGCAAGTTCTCAAAAAATGATGACTAAGACTGTTAATATTACTATTCTAAATCAACAGAACTTGCACCCCAAACCCAGACAGTCACCCACCTAGGCTTCCCCCGCCCTTCAAGAGAAGGCTGGGCTCTTGGACCCCAATGCTGGCCCCCAGCTCCTGCCAGCCACCTTCTCCAAGGCCTAACTGAGCCTTGACTTGGCTCTGCCTGCCAGAGCCTCCCCAGCTGCCAGCCCTAATCAGCCGCTCCAGCCAAGACCTCAAATTGATTTGCCATCGTTTAGCTGGGAAGCAAGAGCTCGTCTTGACTTGTGGCCAAAATCCATTCTGTGATAGCAGAGTAATCACCTCCGTGGCGGGTGTCCGGAGAATGTGATAGAGATCTAGGACACAAAGTCTCCATCCTAATGCCCAGAACCCCAGCCTCGCTGCAGCACAGCTCTGGTCTCCCTCCTCCCTCCTGCACCTGTGCGGCTGCCACGTGTGTCCTCTGCAGTAACATGTCCCCTCCTGCACTTTACGTTGTCTGATGCAGTGACTCTAAAACTTTGCAGCACAGCAGACTAGCCTAGGGCAGCTCCAAAATATACTGAAGCCTGGCCCTGGCCTCCTGACAATCTGATTCAATCGGTATGGGGTGCATCCTGGGCACAGAGGTGCTTTTTAGTTTGTTTGTTTATTTGTTTGAGACAGGGTCTCGCTCTGTCACCGAGGCTGGAATGCCCCATGGTGCAATCATAGCTCAGTGCAGCCTTGATCTCTTGGGCTCAAGCAATCCTCTTGCCTCAGTCTCCCTAGCAGCTGGGACTTCAGGCATACACCATCAAACCCAGCTAATTATTGTTTTAAGAGATGAGGCCTTGTTGTGTTGTCCAGGCTGGTCTTCAACTCCTAGCCTCAAATGATCCTCCTGCCTCAGCCGCCCAGGCATTGGGGTTTTTAATTAAGAGCTCTCTAGGTGGTTCTGATGGGCAGCAAAGTCAGGGAACTGCTAGCCTAAGGCATATAGCACTGTCACCCCTGGATGCTTATACTCAGCATGACTCATTTAGTCACTCAACAATTATTTATTGAGTACCTACAATGGCTGAGCACTGTTCTAAGGGCTGGAAATGCCACCAAGAACAAAGTCATTGCCTGCATAGACTCAACATTCTAGTCAAAGGCAGTGGCCAAGAAACAAGAGAATAAGTAAAATCTATAAGCTATTAAATAATAATAAATGCCAGCCAGGCACAGTGGCTCACGCCTGTAATCCCAGCACTTTGGGAGGCTGAAGCCAGCAGATCACCTGAGGAGTCCAAGACCAGCCTGGCCAACATGGTGAAACCCCCTCTCTACTAAAAATACAAAAATTAGCCAGGCGTGGTGGTGCACACCTGTAATCCCAGCTACTTGGGAGGCTGAGGCAGGAGAATTGCTTCAAGTGAGCTGAGATTGAGCCACTGCACTCCAGCCTTGGTGACAGAGCGAGACTCCGTCTCAAAATAATAATAATAAGCACTTAAGAAGTCATGTGTGGCCAAAGTGGTTTTTGAATGACACCTGAGTCCCCCATATACCAACTTATGGCATCTGCCCTGCCTAATGCTGAACAGATCCTGATCCCTCACCCCAGGCCTAGACTGAGTCTCCACCGCAGCCATACGGTGACCCCAACTCACACGGTACCCCCAACCCTGGCCACACACTCAGTCTTGACGCCAAGCACAGAGTGAGGCTTAACTCTAGTGGCAGACCCAGCCTGAGGTTGTCACAGTCTCTGACCATTTGCTTGGGCCCCAAATTCTCCCATGAACCCAGGTCTTGCCTCCCAGCAGCACCGCATGCAGAGAACAAAGCTCCCTACTGCCTGTCTAGCCCTGCTGCCAATCCCAAACTTAGCTCTACTCCCCACAACCTTCCCTACAGAAAACCCACCGGGTTTTCTAAGGATTTTTACTACTGGTGTCTACAGGCACAAGAAAACAGATGGGCTAAACAGATGGGAAAAGCCTCCGAGTGGTAAGGTTTTTGAAGCTGGAAGGCCCCTTAGAGAGCATCCAACCTCACCCCCTTGCTTTACAGCGATGCCCAGAGAAGTTCGTAAGTAACTTGCTCAAGGTCACGCAGCAAACCAGCAGCTAAACCAGAAATGGAACCCAGGTCGCCTCTCAGCCCAGTGTTCCCTCTCCTGCTCCCTAGGACAGAGTAGGGGGTATCACCCATCTGGTAAAACAGCGCCCAGAATTTCCTCTGGGAACCCACTCCTCTTCTATTCTCTACACCATGATTTGCGTGAAATCCAATCCAATCTTCAGCAAGTGTTCCCCTGGTCCTGTGATTGGTTGGGAGCCAGACTCAGCACCCAACTGGGCAAGGTGGGTCTAGGAAATGTGCTGAGACCGCAGTTCCTCCTCCCCGGTGCACTCAAAGCTGGGCACTGGGACGGACGAGTGCCGCCTCCCTCACTGTCATCTCACGTGGGCTGGTGATGAAGCCAATCCCGGGTGAGGAGGAAACATGTGCGATGAAGAGAAATGGAATTGTGGGGGCATCAATTGAACATCCACCAACCCATACCTGGAAGAGTTCCCTCCCTTCTGGCTTTTCTAGTTCCGTGAGTCAATAAAATCCCCTTGTACTTAAAGCCATCTGGGTTGGGTCTCTGTCGTGCGCAGGCCTGACCAATATCGAAGGCAAGCTCTTTCTGGCTCTCCCAGAACGGAGCTTCCCTACGTCAAACCGTCCCGCTCTCAGATCTCAATCATTCTTTTGCCCTTGGTTTCTACCCACTTCTGGAACTCCATGGGGTATGGTCCCTCCCCCGACAGGGCTCTGTCTTCTCCAGGGTCCTCCACATTGTGGCAGGCAGAACAATGCCCCCTACCCCCACAACGATGTCCACATCCTAATGCCTGGAATCTGTGAATGTGTTCTTATCTTATGCAGCAAAGAGCAATTAAGGCTGCAGATGCAATTAAGGTTTCTAATTCATCTGATCTTAAAAGAGTAGATTACCCTGGATTATCTGACTGGGTGCAATGTAAACACCAATGCCCTTAAAAGTGGAAGAAGGAGGCAGAAGAGACAGTCAGGGTGGTGACAGTGTGAGAAGGACACAGCCCAGGATTTCCAGCTTTAAAGACAGAGAAAGGGTCCACAAGCCGAGGAAAGTGGGCGGCCTCTGGAAGCTGGAAAAGGCAAGGAAACAGATGCCCGGAACACAGCCCTGCCCACACCTTGGTGTTAGCCCAGTGAGATTTGAGTCTGGTCAGATTTCTGACTTCCAGAACCCTAAGAGAATAACTGTGTTGTTTCAGGCACTGTGTTTGTTACAGCAGCAACAGGAAACTGATACGATAT